CCAAGTAGCTGGAACCACAGGCACCTGCCACAACGCCTGGCTATTTTTTGGTTGCAGCCATCACTGTTGTTTGGCGGGCCTGGGCTGGATTCGAACCCGCCACCTTAGGTGTATGTGGCTGGCGCCTTAGCCACTTGAGCCACAGGCACCGAGCCTGAGCCATGCCTTCTATTTTTTTTGAGACAGAGTCTCAAGCTGTCACTCTGGGTAGAGTGCCACAGCAACCTCAAACTCTCGGACTTAAGCGTTCTCTTGCCTCAGACTCCCAAATAGCTGAGACTACAGGCGCCTACCACAATGCCCGGCTATTTGTTGTTGTTGTTGTTGTTGCAGTTGCATTGTTGTTTTTAGCTGGCCAGGCCGGGTTTAAACCTGCCACTCTTGGTGTATGTGGCCAGCACCCTGCTGATTGAGCTACGGGCACCACCCACTATTCTATTTTCTATCTCTATGAACTTAACTATTCCAGGTAAATCTAAGTGGAATCACAAAAGCTATAGCTGGGACTGCAGCTCCTATGTCTGGCTCATTCCACTTAGCATATTTTCCAACTTCAACCATTTTGTAGCAGGTGTCAGAACTTTATTCCTTTTTAAAACTGAATAATATATCTCATTATATATTGTATACATGTCCCAGTCAGCAACAGTGGCTCACATCTGTAATCTCAGCACTTTGGGAGGATCTCTTGAGGCCAGGAGGTCAAGACCAGTCAGGGCAATATAACAAGACCCTGTCTCTAAAAATAAATGAAGAAAATTAGCTGGGCTCGGAGGTGCATATTTATACTTCCAACTACTTGGGAGACTGAAGTGGGAGTCTGAGGCAGGAGAATCACTTGAGCCCAGGAGTTAGGCTGCAGAGAGCTATGATGTACCACTGCACTCCAGCCTGGGCAACAGAATAAGACATATTTCTAAGAAAAAATAAAGGCAGACTTGGTACAGTGGCTCATGCCTGTAATCCTAGTACTTTGGGAGGATTGCTTGAGGTGGAAGTTGGAGAGCAGCCTGAGCAACATAGAGAGACCTTGTCTCTACTAAAACATTAGCTGGGCATGGTGGTGTGTTCCTATAGTTCTAGCTACTTGACAGCCTGATGAAGGAAGATTGCTTGAGCCAAGAAGTTCCAGGTTGCAGTGAACTAACAGAAAAAAACCCAAACAAACAAACGAAAACAACCCTGGGGTCGGGAGTCAGATATACTTGGGTTAAAGTAGTTGCTTCTTTGAAGGCTATCTTTATCCGGCCAGTTTTAAGAATCTTTTTGTCCTACAGCCCAGGCCTGCCAAACAACAATGATAACTACAACCAAAAAATGCCCAGGTGTTGTGGCGGGTGCCTGTAGTCCCAGCTACTTGGGAGGCTAAGGCAAGAGAATCACTTAAGCCCAGGAGTGGGAGGTTGCTGTGAGCTGTGACGCCACAGCACTCTACCCAGGGCAACAGCTTGAGACTCTTGTCTCAGAAAAAAAAAGAAAAGGACTCTTTTTGTCTACTACAATTTCACTAAAATATAGCAAATAAATTTCTTTTTATCTACAGTGTTTGAAATATGTTGAGCTTCTCGAGTACGTGGATGTTTTTCAATCAATTCAGGGAAATTCTTAGCCATTATGACTTTGATTTTTACCTCTTTTCATTTATCTCCTGTCTGTGGGACTCAAATCAAACATGTTAGACCTCACCGCGTCTTCTGTCTCTTACTCTCTCCTTCCTATTTTTGGTGTTTTTATTGGTGTCTTCTGATTTATATTCAATTTAATAATTCTTTTTCAGCTATGTCCAATCTGCTGCTAAATCAAACCCGCTGAGCACTTGTTAGGTATTTTTTTTTTCCAGTTCTAGAATTTCTATTTGTTTCTTTTTCAACTCTGCTATGTTACTTTTTATAGCTTCTAATTTCCTGCCAAAATTTAAGCTCAGTGTAACTGCCTTGCAGTCTATAATCCCAGTATTTGGAGATCCTATTTCTGTCTGTTGTTTCTATTTATTCTTATTGATGGGGTCTTACCTTCTTAACAGCTTCATTAACTTTTTATGTATCTACGTATGTATTTACGTTTTGAAACAGACTCTCGCTCTGTCACCCTGGCTAGAGTACAGTGGTATCATCATTAGCTCACAGCAACCTCAAACTCAAGCAATCATCCTGCCTCAGCCTCCCGAGTAGCTGGGACTACAGGTGTGCGCCACTGCACCTGGCTAATTTTTCTACATTTAGTAGAGATTGGGTCTCACTCTTGCTCAGGCTGATTTTGAACCCCTGAGCTCACGCAATCCCCCTGCCTCAGCCTCCCAGAGTGCTAGTTTTACAGCCTGTAAGCCCACCATGTCCAGACTTGCTTTAGACCCCCACTTCTAAAAATAGATAGGCATTGTGGCCGGCACCTGTAGTCCTAGCTACTCGGGAGGCTGAGGCAAGAGAATCACTTGATCCCAAGGGTTTGAGGTTGATGTGAGCTAAGATGCCATGGCATTCGGCTTTCGACAAGGGGCAAGAGCTGTTTACTTCCAGGACCCCCTTACTCCTAAGCAGTAGCATTTCAGAGTCCTGGACACAAAGCAGGATGTTTACGGGGCCTTTATCCTCAGCTGACTCAGGACTCTAGTTTTTTGTCCTCCTAATCCCAGAAAGCTCACAAAATTCCAGCCTGAGTCACAAACATCCATCCTAAATGCTGGGCTCACCTCTTTGCATTTATACTCTTTCCCAGACCACAGCCCGATGATTCTTTTTTAGAGATAGAGTCTTACTTTGTCATCCTTGGTAGAGTGCCCTGGTGTCATAGCCCACAGCAACCTCAAACTCTTGGGCTCCAACAATCCTCTTGCCTCAGCCTCCCAGGTAGCTGGGACTATAGGTGTCTGCCACAATGCTTGGATATTTTTTTCTTTTTTTAGAGACAGGATCTTGCTCTTGCTCAGGCAGATCTTGAACTCTTGAGCTCAGATGATCCACCGCCTCTGCCTCTAAGAGTGCTAGGATTATAGGCATGAGCCACCTCACCCAGACCAGCCTGATGATTCTTGATCATTTTGGTAGCTCTCTGATATTCCCCAAGTGTTTTGAATGTGTTGTCCAGTAAGTATCCAGCCATGTAATATAAAAAATAGTATTAATAGTGGCTGGATGCTTACTTTCTGGACAGCCCTGATATATATAGTATATATATTTGCTCTAGCTTATTTAGATGTCTTCAATAGGAGGGTTAGTACAAATAAATTAGTTTATCACCTCTAGAAGCAGAAGTCCTCATGAAAGGTCTGAATACTTCTGCTTAATTGGCATTAGAACAGAAATGGAGATAGTAGATTTTGCATTAGTGTTGGCTTTCTACATCCTTGGTTCTGCATCTGTGGATTCAACCCATCACAAATAGAAAATACTTTAAAGGCTCGGCGCCTGTGGCTCAAGAGGCTAAGGCGCCAGCCACATACACCTAAGGTGGCGGGTTCGAATCCAGCCCCGGC